TGACAGTTTTAATGGTCCTAGGGGGCGCTATTTCAGAATATAGGCCACGCCCACAAACTTCAGCTGTCCAATTCTATTGGGGGTCAGACTCGGATCACTCACCAGACATTTTGTGGCGATGTCACGATAATTGAAGAAATGAGAGGCAAACGTATTGCCATGGCGTGATGGCGAATTTCGCCATGCTCCCAAAGCCCCGTCTTTTTTCGAAAGCTTCCAGTATTGGAGACCAAGTGACCTCAACTTGTCAGCTGCTATTTGCCAGAGATTGCTGGTGATTGGGTAAAAGGAGTCCAATAGGGAGCTGTGAAAAAAAGAGTGGCGTGGCGACAGGTCAAAGTTTGAGGCCTAGCCACGCCCACACCGTTATACTTATTTAAAATCTGACGGTTGAATTTTTTCCTTTATGTCTTAAGAGTATATAGCAGAAGTTTGAAGGCGATTGGTGAAAAGGGCGATGGAGCATCACTCTCCAAACAACTTGTGCGAAAACCAGTAAATCGCGTACTTGGACCAAAATGGCTGACTTCCTGTGCAACTTTGCACTTGGCTCCAAGAGACTTTTTTGTAGGTCCTGAGACACCACATTAGTGTACCAAATTTCGAAATCCTCAGTCAAAGCATGGCTTGGGGCTGACAGTTTTAATGGTCCTAGGGGGCGCTATTTCAGAAAATAGGCCACGCCCACCGGATGTTCACATCAAATTTTTTTGGGGGCCGGACTAGGATCACTCACAAGAGGTTTTGTGGCAATATATCTAGAAATGACAAAATGGGAGGCAAACGTAAGGCCACGTCGGTACGCCTGACTTCGCCACGCCGCCACAGCCCCGCCTTCTGGAGAAAACTCCCATAAAGTGACGCCAAGCAACCCCAACTTGTCTTCAGTTACCTGCTACAAATATGGGGTAATTAGTTGAAAGGGCGAATTTTGGACAATTTCCCAGTAAAACTTGACCTTTTAAGGCCTGAGGGGGTGGGGCTTATGTGACATCATCAATCAACCATTCATTTGTCTTCGGGGGGCGATGACGATTGTCCATAGAAAATTACTTTAACTGTAATTCTTTCATTTATGAAATTATAGCAATTTGAATTTTTTTGGCGAATGCTCGAACTTTGAGGCCTGACTCCGCCCCTTCAGTATTTACGAAAAGTCAATTTTATTTTCTCATTTGATTCGTCCATCGCTTCTGTTCGATCGCACACTATTTTTGAGACAATCGTGCGAAAAATGACCAAACTGTTCAACCAAATATAGAGCCTAGAAATGGCCAAAACGGGGTAAAAATGGCCACTTTAGTCCAAAATGGCCGACTTCCTGTTTGATATTGACCATGGGTGCAAGAGGCTTTTCTGTGCGTATTGTTGAGTTCTACAGGTGTACCAAATTTCATCACTATACTATGAAAAAAGGTCAATGCGGAGGGGTATTTTTAATTTTCCAGGGGGCGCTGTTGAAACATTTTTATACCAACTTTCACGTTGACAGTGAAATACGTAAATTTCACGCACTTTCTATATTGGGCCAGAATTTGGTGACTTTTTGGATATGCTAAGACCCCCTAAAGGCCGTCCAAAGACGCGGAAGAAAAAAAAAGAAAAAAAAAGAAAAAGAAACGGAGCAGATACAATAGGCCTTCGCAGCGCTTCGCTGCTCGGGCCTAATAAATGTGGATACGGGCTTGCAGGGTGAGCTACAGTCATGGCCTCTGGTTCCTGACCAGAGACTATAGCTTCTGAGAGAGGAGCAGGGCCTGATGTTGGGAGTAGGGTTGTCACGGTATGAAAATTTAACCTCACGGTTATTGTGACCAAAATTACCACGGTTTTCGGTATTATCGCTGTATTTTTTTTAAATGTGTTACATTTTCACACAATTAAATAAACCCTGTATATCAGGAAATATTGTCCTCAGTTTGTGTCTAAATTTTGCCTAAAATGTGTTATTTTGTAATTATGTTGTTTATTTGTTTACATTTTTCCCCTTTAGTCTTTAAAATACCAATATTTGCCCATAACTTCTTATTTTTTGTCTGTTTGATGTCATCATTTAAAAAATATTAGTTCAGATGATACTCAGTACTCAAGTAGCCTTCTAATCAGATACTTTTTTACCCTTACTTGAGTAATAAACCCTATATCAGGAAAATATCGTCCTTGGTTTGTGTCCTTCCAGTGAGCTTTGCAGATTTGGGAAAATGTCATCAGGCAGTAATCAATGCCTGATGAATTTAACAATTCATAATTTAACAATTATGAATTGTTAAATTCATAATTATTCTCAGAGAGAGACCAACTCTTATCTGCCCCTGGGAGCCCTGTAATGCATAGTGTCATTTCAACATGGGGGTGTCCGCGACACGGTTTATATGCAGGTAGCGGCGCTGCGGCTGCTTTATATAGCGACTCGTTGCATTCTCCCTCAACCCAAAACCTCGGATCACGCATTTTAGCTAAAACGCTAATGTTGGCTTGCCTTGCGTTGACTGTAGAGTTGTGGATGATGGTCACGCAGATGTGTCATGAGATTTGAAGCGTTGCTGCCTTTCACAGACACTTTTTCTGCACGTGCTGCAAACAGGATAGCTTTTTTCTATAAACTCCCTCGGCATTCTTCAAATATCCAAAAAATGCCCGTACTTCCCACTTTGTCTTCTTTGAGGGATAATAAATGTCCTGAGCGCTGCCGTATCCTCCTTTGACCATTATTTCAGCTTTAGCTTCAAGATTGTTTTGGCTGTAAACAACAAAGTGCGCATGTGCCGCCGGCAACTTCAGCAGATGATATGGTGGCTGGTAAGGGTCACCGCGCCTACACCGCAGCCACGGTAATCCACCGAGATAATATAGTTTTTTTAAAAACAAGACGGTTATTATTATTCTCAACTTTTTTACCGGGGTTTGTTGCTACACCGGTTACCATGACAACCCTAGTTGGGAGCAGGATGATGGAGTAACATACCAATCTTATACATCGGGCCATTTCAGGAATTTCAAAATAAAATTAAAATTTTGCAGCTAAAACAGGAAAATGCATGAATGCAGCCAAAAACGGGTTTGGGGGTATTTCCCATGAAGAAACAACAGTATTGCATGCTGAATAGATCCAAAAAGTGGATTTTCCGTGATATGGCTCCTTTAACATCCACGGGGCTGCAGTCAACCTTCCTGGACGCGGCCGCAGGAGAAAAATTGCTGACAAATCAAAGGGACGGATAAACCGAATGATTAACTAAAGAGTCCAGAAAATTTTCTAAATAGATCCAAGGTGAACCATCTGATTGCACCATCCGTCGTCGTTTGAGCTAAAGTGTACAATGAAATCTCAAGACTATCAAAGGATTCTAGAGAGAAATGTGCTGGCCAGTGTCAGAAAGCTTGGTCTCGCGCGCAGTTCACGGGTCTTGCAACAGGACAATGATCCAAAACAAACAGCTAAAAACACCCACAAATGCCTTGTAGCCCTGACATCAATCCTATTGAGCATCTTTGGAAAGAGCTGAAACATGCCGTCTGGAAAAGGTGCCCTTCAAACTTGAGACAACTGCATCAGTTTGTTTGAGGAGTGGGCCAAAATACCTGCTGAGAGGATCAGAAGTCTCATTGACAGTTACAGGAATTGTTCAATTGCATTGATTGTCTCATTAGGTTGTGCAACAAAATATTAACCCTTTGATGCATAATGGTAACTACAGTGGACAGGTACTCAAAATGGTTATTTATTAGTTTTTGCTATTAAGCACAGCTGTTGAAGACTTTATTGCATGTGAGCCCCTCCATTTGGACTTCAGTAAGCCAAGCCAACATATTTCATGATCAGAATGCACGCTGTCCACTGAGGTGGACATGTAATAGATTATTTGTAAATGACTAAATGTTGCAAAAAATATGTGTTGAAATTTGTTTCATTCACACCTAAAGATGAATGAAAAAAAAAAACTGTTAAAAAATCATGGTTGAAGATTTCATAATTCATGCATCAAATGGTTAAGTTAGGGTAACACGTCCTTTTACAGTCCCCTAATTACTAAGTACTTACATGGTAATTACACAGTAAGTTAAAGTGTAATGTTGTGTCACAGTTCTTAAACAGTTATTACCATGTAACTCAGGTTCAATTCAAATGTTTGCTAATCATTCCCAGTAAATGCTGCTTTACACAGTAATTACACGTTATTACAATCATACACTTGAACTTACTATGTAATTACCATGTAAGTACATAGTAATTAGGGGACTGTAAAAGGAAGCATTACCTAAGTTAGGGCTACCATCATTTTTGTCCAGGTCTGTTCCATGAGTTCTCTTTTTTAAATATTTTTGTTGAAGCATGGTGGAAAAGCAGTGTGTGACTTTCATTGGTTAAATTATTACTTTTGTCAGATTCAAGGTATTTCTATGGCCATTGGGGCTTTTCCTTTCATTGACCAAAGGGTACCAACAACTTTGTCCACGTCTGTAAAACAAGTTTTCTAAATAATGCCTCAGAGCCGTGTCTCTTGTAGACGACTCTTTGAATGACAACTGACAAAATAATAGAGTGGACCAAGATCCAAGAAGTTGCTGCAAATGTTAAACAACCATCCGTATCCAGGCATGTGAAAGCCAGTTTATACGCTTTTACAGGGTTTCAGCATTGCATTAAAAGGTTTGTTTGGCAAGGATTTCACAGTATTCCACTGAAAATAGTCCCACCTGTAAAAAGTATCACAGGATTCCAAAGGTTTGTCAGTAATTTAAAGCTTTAAAATACAGTGAAAAGTCAGCATCTGGATTTGTCACATGTAAAAGTCAGCATTTCCTTTAACCACATGAACTTTCTGCCATGCTTCTTTGCTTCTGATGCATGCTTGTGATGAAACGTGTTGAGCACATTCGGCAGCATGAAGGAACATCACGTCCACAGCATGACAATAAAACACTCCCTCTGACGTTTTACTGCTTTGTTCTGAGTTGTGAGATTAGTGATGGCGCGTGGGCGTTCAAAGCAAACTCACCACCAGAGACAGCGGCCTCTTCCATGACACCACTCCGATGAGTCCAGAGAGCAGGACCTGGGGCAGAAAACACAAAACAGACACTGTGAGGGAATTAAATAGTTATTCAATTTATCTAAAAAAAACAGACAAATACTCCCACAACTGACTTTACGTGGTACTTTTCATCTTCAACCCAACAGATTGGCTCATTTGAGGAGTCAGATCAGGTGGGAGTTGTTTTCTTCCCACCTGTTGTCAGATTCTTTCATCCATCTTTCAGCCTGGATGAGAAACTCTTTTGTCATCCTGTTTCCACAGCCTCAATCCTCCACAGATTATTTCTCCCTTCAGCAGAGATGAAATTAATGCAAACCTCCACTTTCAGGTGATTAATAACAGAAAGTATGCTTGGGCGTGATGCCTCGGAAGAAGGATAACGTGCCTTTCAGCTTCTTAGGGGGGATGATTTACCGCCTCCAGTGCTGGACCATTTCATTAGGCTGTTTCCTGTGACTGAAACAGGCAGCAAAAGGATGCTGGCAGTCAACAGACGGTTGGACTGCATCATCGAGGATTTCCTTCAAACGCTTTACTTTAAATAATTTAACAGATTTCATGTTGTGCAAATAATAAAAAAGATTATAGTAAGATTAATCAATCTGATGTCTGTGAGGTTAAAGAGACCGCAGCCACAATAATGATGTCATCAGTCACAATTGCAATAAAACCATATTTATTTTAGGTAATGGTGATATTTTATGCTTAGCTGTCTTCATCAATAGGGATGAAAGTAAGTTTCCTGAAAGCAGATTTTACTTCTTGTCAATATTTAAACGTTGAAACACTCACAACCCTGAAGTAAAATGCTAAAATACCCGTCTGTAACAGCTTAAAAAAAGCAAAGGGATATTTGGGGGGGGGGGGGGGGGGGGCAGTTATTTAATTTATAATTACACTTTATTTGGCACGCTGAATTTCTCCGTTTTCTGCGTTTGAATTGTTTAAACTCCCAGAATCAAAAGTCTGCACAGAGATCAGTGATCGGGCTTTAAAACTGGTTAACTGGACAACTTTAAATGAAAATAATTTTGCTCTTTTATGATTTTAAATGCACTTTTATTCATCTTTCAATCATCTGGTTCACCAGCATTGTTTCTTAGATTTACTAAAAGACAAGTTTAGACCCTTCAGCGGTTCGGACTTTGAAGACGATACATGGATCTCACCATCTCTTTAAAAATGATTCCTGGAATAACGTGCCAGAAAATAACTCGTGAGGAATTTTGTTTCATAGTTTTCCAATAATTCTAATGAGTTTTTGTAATTCCGGAGGAAATTCTGCACATTTCCTTTTACCAGAAGAGTTATTATTGATGCAGCCGTTCTACTGGCACCTCAGCGACTTCATCAGTCTGATGGCAGCTCCGGGTTTCTTCATTAGGACCGATTTGATTTTAGATTTGGTGCTCCATTCACCTGGAACCAGTTCCCTCCCCCGAAGCTTCATGTCTTGCCTGAATGAAACAATTCACCCGATTGTGTTGTGATGTGTTTATTCCCACCATCTGTTACTGATGTGTGTTTGATTTAAATCCCAAAAACAACGCTTTCAGTTCTCAGATGAGATGCCTGATTAAACTGAACATAGCTCCTGTTGGTGTTCTGCTCCATGAAGTGTGGGCTTGCATTTTTACAACGTGTGCTTACCGGAGGTGTGAATTTGCGTATCATCAGAATGTGGGTGATCAAAGGGCACTCGCAGCCTCCGGCTTTCATTTCTCCGTGGTCTCCCTCTGCCTTTCACTCTCCTTCACCCTCCATTAAACATCACCATCCTCTGCCCATTTCTACCCATCATGCTCTGCTTCTTTTGTCTTTCCACTCCCTCTCTTCATGTCTATCTCCTCTCTTTAGAATTTACCATCAGTCCCTTTCCATTTTTCGTCCTGGATCGCCGTCCACCTCTCGGCCAAAACGCACCCCTGCACTTACACACCTCCCTTTCACTTCACTTCATCCAGACTCCTCGTTTTTATCTCCCTCTCCATCTTGTTCCACCTTCTAGTCAATCTTCCACTTCTTCACTCACCGCGAAACCAACAGGACCTGGCAAATGGGGCGCCAATAATTTCATTTGAGGTTCTCGCACAGGTCAGAGCCAGTTTGGTAGATAAAAAAAATCTTTTGAATTTAAACAAATCCAACATAAGACTGGTATTTATTTGGGATTTGATATCTTAATCTGAAATAGTGAAAAAGAAAAACTCAGAAGGTTAGAGGCACATTTTGTTTTTCTGGATTGTTGTTTCATCCTTGACTCGTTTGAAGCTGTTTATCGTGAACTCTGCTGTGGATCTTGTGTTTACTGTTGAGGTCACGCTTAGATGTGTGTAAATCTCATAAACTCCACCGGGAACAATTATTGAGTTACAGTCCAGCCTTGTTCAGCTGTTCAGGGGAAACAACCTATAGTTCTATTCCCTTGTATAGATAAGCTATGGGTTTATGTATTTATTTAGTAGATGCTTTAACCCAGTCACTTACAATTTTTAAGATACAAATGCAGGGAATTAACCTGAATAAATGTGTTTGAAGAACTGAAGAAGCTGGCGCGTCTGGAGAAAACCCATGCATGCATAGAGAGAACAAGCAAACTCCCCACACAAAGGCTGCAGTTGGGATTCAAACCTGCAACCTTTTTGCCATGAGGCAACAGTACTACTATCTGTGCCACCATGCAAACCTTTGCAAATGGACTTTGTCTCCATTTAGTAATGAAACTAAATAATTTAAATTTGCTTTGGACAGTTATTTGTTTTTAAGTCTCCACTGTTCCAGTTTTTATGATAAAGCAGCACAGAAAGTGAGGGCCACAAAAGAGACGTATAGAAATGTGGACTAGAGCCCTGCACTGGAGCCCTAGGCCCGCGGGTCGGCCCGGCCCGATGGGCCCGAGGGCCGGGCTTCGGGCCAACGACTGTGTAAGTACCTCGGACACGGGCCGGGCTGGGCACCTTTATTTTTTATCTAATTCATTAAAAAAAACTGAAACACTTAAACGCAGCAGCACCTGCCTGCTTCTCACGCACCGGCACCGTTAGCTCAGTTAAGGTCTGTGTGGTTCATAAATGCGCCTATATAAACGAATTCTCAAACTGCTGATTGAAACATGTGCCCCTACTCTAATATGCCATTTTATGTCCACTTTGATGTCAGAAACCATTCCTTTATTCTCATGAAAACGGCAGCATTCTATTTTTCTGTGAATAAATTCGTTCTGCAGTTAAAAAAATACAGCATTCATTGCTGGGTTTTTCTAACTGGAGAGCGCATTTTCAGAGCGGCAGATTAAATTTACAAACGCTTTATTAATTGGGGGCGTTTATTTAATCTGCCGCTCTGAAAATGCGCTCTGCAGTTAGAAAATTGGAATGCTGCTTTTTTTCCTAATTGCACAAGATCGCATTTTCAGAGCAGATTAAATTTACAAACGCATCCAATTAATATAGTGTTCGTAAATTTCATCTGCCGCTCGAAAAATACGCTCTGTTAGAAAAAAAGCTGCATTGATGCTGTTTTTCTTTCCTTCTTTCCTTCTTTCCTTCCTTCTTTCCTTCTTTCCTTCTTTCTTTCCTTCTTTCCTTCTTTCCTTCTTTCCTTCTTTCCTTCTTTCTTTCTTTCTTTCTTTCTTAACTGCAGAACGCTTCCCACAGATATTTAGAATGCTGAGAATTCTATCACGCTAAAACATTATGAAAGGTTAAAAAAAAAAGTCGGGCTCGGGCTGGGTCGGGCCAGAGAATCCTGAAAACCTTTTCGGACCGGGTCGGGCCGGGGCTCCACCCCCTCGGGCCGGGCCGGACACGGGCTCAGATTTTAGGCCCGTGCAGGGCTCTAATGTGGACCGCGCTCTCTTCACTCCACTGTACAACCTGCTCAATCAAGTCCATCAGCAGACAGACTTGTGTTTCTGCAGGTTGTTCATTCAGAGCCAGACACTGACAAGTAGTCCACAGATGTTTACACACACACACACATATATATATATACATACATACATACATACATATATACATACATACATACATACATACATACATGTATGTATGTATGTATATATATATATATACATACATACATACATATACATATATATATACATATACATATATACATATATATATACATATACATATATACATATATATATACATATACATATATATATATATATATATATATATATATATACACATACATACATACATACATATATATATTCAAATTGAATATATAAAACATTCAAATTGAAGATAAAAAAGCACCCCCCGGTGGATGCATAGGAAGTTTTAGTTACGTGAACGTCATTACTGTATGTAGGTGAGGAGGTAGAGCCTCTGGCTTCAAAAGTACAACATAACATCATTTATATACAAGATATTGTAGCGTCATGAATGGCCTCTAATTTGTGACAAAGGTCACATTTTCCCAGCTGGGTTAAGCTGGGTCGACTGTAACTTTGCCCCGCAGATTAAACATGCAAGGAGCCATGATGTCTGCTGAAAATCATCTTTATCTGCTCTTGTTCCGTCCCAGGATGAAGGACACTTCAAGTTTCACAATAATAATTTTAAATCATAATTTTAATAAACTCTTGACTTTTTTACTGTTATTACAATCACCATAAATAATCTCTTGGTTCAGTATGAATGTATTTTAATTACTGAAATGACATTATGCTTTGGGTAATAATAATAATGATTGTTGATGATCGGTTATGTGTGTTCAGCAAACCAGAAGGTCATCTTGCACCTAACCAGCCTCATTCAGAAGGGATATCCAGGGTAAAGGGTAAAATCATCACATGTCTTTTTTTCATGACCAAGCTTTCTGACGCTGAGAGTGGGCGTGTTCTGAGGGTTTTGTTAAAACTAAAAATCCCGCAGCAAAAGTTCAGTTCTTGAACCATAACAGGAGAAAAGGGACGGCCGCCCGATTCTCTACTAAGCTGTTCTGTCACGCTGATAGAATTGCTCTGAAAAACCGCAACGATAACCAGCTGACGCAAAACTCCT